GTGATTGGACCGAAAACGAGAAACACAATCACATCGACGAATAGGCCAAAATTTGCACTTGTTGCTCCTGTTCTAAGATTTTACACGGAATTGAACAACCGCCTTCATTGCACAAGGTTGCATTTTTTCGCGAAAAGTGAGAAATCAGCAAAATCCATGAAGCGAAATCTCAAAAACGCTACGAGTTCGGATTTAGCCAAAGAATGGGCACTTGGGAAGATGCTGTTATCGGTAACAACGTTGAAGAAGAAAAGGATAAAAGATAAAGCACTCGGTGTTGATCATTCCCTAAAGGATGCACCATCCATTCGACTTCATTAAGCATCGTTGGAGGCGAATGAATGCATATCTGGACTGTACAACTACTCGCAGTGGCTTACTGATGTAACGCTCAGTGCTACTATCCTCCTAGACATCTATGGTACCAACTGCCAGCCCCGAATGGATGTAAGGCTTGCTGAGCCTGGACAGCTAGATCGAAGTCGTGTATTGCAGGGCATCTTTAACCACTGTGGTATACGCGCCCTACCGATAAAGAATACGACAGGATACTAAACATCTCCACGTTAGTGCTATACTAACTTTGATACTTGGATGACCGCCTTCATTTGAAGCGCGGACCCAGCATAATTTTCAATTTTTTTTTTTGCAGTTTTGCTGGTTCCTCCCAACGGTTTACCTCATCGTAGCTGGGACGTGTTCCTGGGTGTCGGACTGTGATGTACAGCTGGAGAATTCATCGTCCCAGTAGAGTCTCAAAACCAGAGGAGGAGTCCGGCGTTTCCATCAGGAAGCGTGGCTAAGAGTAAACCAATACTGAGATCCACCACCGTCCTGCTATGAAACTAGTCGCATGGTGGCAAATCTCTCTCTGATCCACAAAGGCCGGCAATTACCTGTGGTGGTGACGAACTGCGGAGCAGACTTTGGCCAGGCTGACATCGGGACTTCAAGGAAGCATAATAGCTAGACCAGCAAAACTCAAAGAAAACAGAAATTATGTTGAGGCCCGCACAAGCAGTGAAGACGGACCATCCAAGTATCCAAGTAAGTAAGTAAGTAAGTAAGTTTTGCTGGTTCGGCCATTGTGGTTCCCTGGAGTCCCGGGGTTAACCTGGCCAAAGTCAGCCCTAGGTCGTCACCACCACAGGTAGTCGCCGCCCTCGCGGATCAGAGGAGGATTTGCCACCATGCGACTAGTTTGATACCAGGACGGTGATGGATCCTCGTAATTGTTTACTCCTAGCTGGGTTTCCTGATGGAAACTTCGGAGTCCTTCTCAGCTTAAGAGACCCTGCAGCTTAGGAGGACACGTATTACCTCCTAGCCACATTAGGAGAACAAGAGTCGGCGACTAAGTTCCTCGAGATATCAAACGGACAGCAGGAGGACCAGCAACTCGATTCTCGGAATTTTTTTGACGGGGGTCTAGAAGAAAGACATGCTGTTTAGCGAGTTTTTAGAGCGAGCAGCACACAATGGCCCATGGAGACTTTGCGATACGGCTCATTAATCGTAAACTGTATATTGCCAAATTCCTGAGAGCAACTTTCAAGACAGTCTTATCATAAAGGAGTCCATAAGTGCCGATCTTCAGTGCTTAACTACAGGGAAGAAGAACCTTCTCTGTACCCTCTTCACTAACAACATTCTTTGTTATGGACCGTCTTCAACGCTCTCTGCACGAAATGAACTCGTCCGAAAACTTTTCGTAAATTATGAAGTGTATTATATAGTTTTTCACGAGGAAGTCTTGATATAACATCTATGTTGGACAAGTTAACTATTAAAGAATTGTAACGAAAAGCTCTTTGTGGCAAACGAAACCAGTGGAAACAAGGCCATTGGTCGGAGTGCACTTCGTCCACTTTGTTCTCCACCATTGTACCCAGTGCATATTGATCGTTGCGTGTCAATTATACATTCGCTCAACTACCTGTGCTGTACATAGTCTCTAAGACATATAAATTCTGTCTTGTCTAATGTTCTGATGGTCGAATAGTGAAAATCGCCTTAGAAAAGTCAGCTACGATGTTTGGTTCTAATATACTGCGACTTTGAGCTGTTATCGCTATAGGATTAGAAGTCGACGGATGTGAATTAATTTTGTTTAACTGGATTCATATAATTATCCTTCACTTTTCTGTGAGAAAACTATATGCACGATAATAAAGGAGGGCATCGAATTATGATTGTGGACTAGCGACTTCACAACGTCGTATAGCGGCAATTGGTAACATTAGAGCGTAGGAAGACCAACGTGTCTGTTCCATAAATAAAAGTCCGACGAACATCTCCATGTTGATTCATCAACGTGGTCGTAGTGTACGATGATACTGGAAACACATTTCTTTCCGAAATTTACTACGTATAACTTAATATTCTTAGAATTTCACTGAATTCAACATAGTTATCCACCAGAACTTTCCAGCATTATAGAGGAACCTTTGAAAGCTAACCATGAAATACTTGATCGAAATTTTTCGATACCACGTTTGGCATAGAACCTATTCAACAGTGGAGAGCGTGTGCTGACGGTACTGTGTATTCATTATAGGCTTCGGATTTTTTCATTGTATAGCATTGACCAGTCTTTTTTCTAATTGAAACTCATTCTGAAATTCCCACGACCGACTTTCTATTAACCTCGGCATTGATCAAGTAATTCTTCGTATTTTTGCTGAGCAAACGCGAGGTGTTATTATGCTTCCATGCGATTTCTGTGCGGTTGGTCTTCACGCGACATACTTAGTGGAAACCTCATAGAAAGCGGCTCTGAGGAAGGCGAAATCCGCCGAAACGTCAGCTTATTCGTGAATAAAAGAATAATAACACCTCGCGTTTGCTCAACAAAAATACGAAGATCAAGAAAAATCATTCTGAAATGTTTTCATCGTTGAAGCTAGTGTAGTTTCCAAAACAATTACTCCATTTGACAGCATTCTGTAATGTAGTGTGTACAGCTCTACGTAACTGTAATTTTTAAAGGGAACAACTAAATACTCATAACACTAGTCCATTTAGTCACCTTCCACGTAGACATTGATGAAAAAGCTTACTTACTTGAATGATACTTGAATGGCCCGTCCTCACTAGTTGTGCGGGCCCCATTATAATCTCCATTTTCGTAGATTTGCTGGTTAAGTCATTATGGTTCCCTGGAGTCCTCAGGTAGGCCTGGCCAAAGTCTGCCCTAGGTCGTCACCACAGGTAGTCGCCGCCCTTGCGGATCAGAGGAGGATTTGCCACCATGCGACTTTAATAACTGAATGGTGGTGGGACCTGGTATTGGTTTAGTTTTAGCTAGGCTTCCTGATGGAAACGCCGGACTCCTTCTCAGCTTGGGAGACCTTGCCAGGGGATGAATTCCCCGTTGTACATCGCAGTCCGACACCCAGGAACACTTCCTAACCACGATGAGGCGGTAAACCGTTGGGAGCAAAAAGCTAGTGCGACCAATTATTATTTTTACCTATGAACCTTTTGCACGATCAAACCTCCCGTTAACTTTTAATCAAACACAGTTTGCATGTTTGTGTTTCGTTTTGGTCCGCTTATGATGAACAATCTACCCTCGAATTTCCGTACTTATCGTGGGACAATTCCATAAACATTGCTCAAAACATATCGTTTCTAACTCAAAAGACCAACTTTAAGTAAACCTTGGCACTCTTTTTCTACATTTTGCATTTTACATGACCCATTTTTACATCTACTGTGCGGATTCCAACACTTCCTCCATTCGATTTGTTTCCGCACAACTTCATCATTAGTGGTTAATATCTGCAAGTCTTACAAACTGCTCTTGTAGAACTCACGCTAAGTTGCTATCAGTTTTTTGTTGTTGTTCTTGCTGTTGCTGCTGTTGTTGTTGTTAGTGGTGGTGTTGGCGTTGTTATTGTTGTTGTTCTGTTTCGATGGCTGACATTTCGGCGACATCCGATTCTGCAGAGCCTGGACGTATTAATTTAACTCTCTTCATATAAAGCTAGCTTTTTATTTGTTGTCTACTATACTTTTCCTCGGCAGGGTATGATGCGAAATATAACCACAGTGATGTTGAGATGTTTACAAAACTCCGGACCGCAGGTGTATACGGTGGGAATGAACGCGCTACTACCCTTTCTGGGAGTTAACGCGTTCACCACCACACCATGCGGGTCCTTCGTTTCGCCTACCTCTCAGCTTGTTCCATCGATCTGTGCCATCAGCAGTCACCTCTCATCGGGATTGATCTGGGGAGCCCAAACAAATCGGCAATGAACCTAGTTAACTCCCGGAAAGGGTAATAACTCCTTCGTTCCCCACCGCATACACATTCGGTCCGGAGTTTTGCAAATATCTCAGCACCACTGTGGTTCTATTCATATAATTCGGTGAACCATCCAAAGTACCAAAGTACCAAAGGAGGTTTATTATTGCAAACAAACGCCACTTTGATTGAAAACCACCCAGTGCTTTGCTAGGCGTGGGACCACCCGTGTGTTGTCCACCTGGGATGATGACTGAAACTCACCCAGATCAAAAAATCGATTGGAAAAAAGGCACTAGGTCACGTGTGATAGTGAGGCATTCATCTTGGTCTACATTTTACTTCAAAAGATCGTAATAGAAGAAGGAATCACCAGTGCTTACTAAGGAAATCAGTCGAATACCGACGAAATGGTCAGCGTAGTCCGCCATTTCAAAGGCGCCATTCTTCGATCGATACCGACGTTGGCTTCTTTCCAGTGTTCTGCGCCCTCCACGATTTGTCATCCTCCCTCGTGCAAACGTTATCGTTCGTCACCTCTAATACAGCTTTACCACAAATCATTCTACTTTTTCCGCTTGGAAAACTTTCTACTGCTTCTATTTTGTAATTAGTAAGGAAATCTGATGGTATTTCAAAGTGATATTGTGGCATTATTGGAATCGTTGCTGGTAAAGCCTGTCGTCTTTTGTATTTTCTTTTGGTTTCATTCCTTTTCTCCACTTCTTTTTCTGTATTGTATAAAATATTGATTATATCGACTTTTCTAATAAGTCTACGATTTTGTATTTCACGAGGGTCGGTTGATAGTCACTGCGTGCAAGGAATTTTCTTCGGAATTCAGCGCAACGTCGAACGGTTGCCTTATTTTTTCACGTTTCAACTTTACGAACTAAACGTTTAGGTACTAATGTCGATCTCTACTATTAGACGACAAGTTAAAAATGTTGCCTATAATTTTTCGGACGCTCAAGTGAAAGTTAGGGAAGCTACATGGTAAGTACTACTTTTTGTTATTTCAGTACTTCGGATTTTACTTTGAAATGTTTCTTTTTTCCAGTAACGATCCATGGGGACCATCCACAGCCCTTATGTCTGAAATCTCTGACCTCACCAATAATCCAATGGTTAGTGCAGCTTGAGCGATTCGCAGTGCGCTACTGCTCTTCTGAGTTGGATCTCTGTAATACCCAATTTATCTTCAATTCATCGTTCTTCTTGTCTTTTCAGGCTTTCACCGAAGTAATGTCTATAATTTGGAAGAGATTAAACGATTCAGGGAAAAATTGGCGCCATGTCTATAAAAGTCTAGTTCTGCTCGATTTTTTGATTAAGTGTGGAAATGACAAGGTTTGGCTTAGGCTTATATAGTTGTGAATTATTACGGAAATTCTTCTAAAATGTGTAAGGGCGACTCAATGTGCTCATCTTATTGTCTTTAATCCAGTTCTTATTTAAATACTGTGAACATTGTGTTTTTTTCGTTGTTAGGTGTCACTTCGATGAATTTAGATACGTATCCTCCCAACGGTTTACCGCCTCATCGTGGTTACGAGGTGTTCCTGGGTGTCGGACTGCGATGTACAGCGGGGAATTCATCCCTGGCAGGGTTTCCCAAGCTGAGAAGGGGTCCGGCGTTTCAATCAGGAAGCCTAACTAAGAGCAAACCAATACCTGGATCCACCACCGTTCTGGTATCAAACTAGTTGCATGGTGGCAAATTTCCCTTCGATCCACAAGAGCGGCGACTTACCTGTGGTGGTGACGACCTGGGACAGATTTTGGCCAGGCTGATCTCGGAATTTCTGGGAAACACATTGGCTAGGCTAACAAAACTTCGAACAATGTAGGTTATGCTGGGGCGCGGCACAGTCAGTGTGGGCGGCCGTCCAAATGAGTAAGATGTCACTTTGATACAATCAGATTGTAGTAGTAGTACAAATGGGTTTCACTGCTAGTTTTTTATGCATGTGGGTTTCAGATATGAAATATCTATAGGTTATTTGGGCAATAAAGATTTGGTATAAATGCTTAGCGTTGATCAATCTCATTGTTTAGAGATATAGCCTCACATCTGCGTTGTTCCTTAGGATTTGCGCTTAGTAGTTGGAACAGTGATAAACCCTACTTTGGGCTGCGTTCATTGTTTGTAAATAACGTCCTTTTTTCCTAAAAGTCTTCACATTACGTGACGTCGATGATGGGATGGTTAATTTAGCGTGATATCATTTCATATAAACCTTTTTGTTACAGGTTTCACAGCAGTGTCGAGAGAATATCTTTACAATTGAAACGCTCAAAGATTTTCAGCATATTGAAGATAACAGAGATCAGGTATGACTTGTGACTGAGCATTTGTAGAGCCATTTTCCCTTTATGAATTTGTTTTACCTTAGGGTCTTAATATTCGCGAAAAAGCTAAGCAAATAACTGCACTACTAACAGATGAAGAGCGTTTGAAGAATGAACGAACACGTTTTATGCTCACAAGGACAAAGTGAGTTGCCCACCTTGTCACAGTTCCTTTTAAAATCGACTAGTCGTTTTCATTTTCTAGATTCCGTGAAAATAGTGCGCTAGCTGTTGGATCAGAACGAAGAATCAGACGGTCTGATACTGGCACTGCATTAGGTGCGAGTTTGGTTTTAATTTAGTTGTATTTATTACAAATATTATGTATGCATAAAATTCTAAGTTTATGAAGTTAGCTAATGACGTGCTTAACGACGTTGTTCATTGCCAGTCTTGTTGTATTAGCTTAGGTCTCGTTCTGTATTGAAACGGTGAAGCTCTGACTGCATAGTTGTGCTTTGAACGTGGCGCTTTTTCTCTTTGGCGATATACTTACTTGGATACTTGGACGGCCTGTCCTCAGTGGTTGTGCGGACTCCAGCATAATCTCCATTTTTTCGGAGTTTTGCTGGTTTAGCCATGGTGTTTCCCTGGAGTCCCGAGGTCATCCTGATCGAAGTCTGGCATAGGTCATCACCACCACAGGCAGTCGTTGCTCTCGTGGATCAGAGGAAGATTTGCCACCATGCGACTTACCAGGATGGTGGCGGATCCTGGTATTGGTTTACTTTTAGCTAGGTTTCCTACTGGAAACGCCGGACTCCTCAGCTTAGGAGTCCCTGCCAGGGAGATAAATCCCTCGCTGTACATTGCAGCCCGACACCCAAGAACACCTCTCAGCCACGATGAGGCGGTAAACCGTTGGGAGACTTTAATATATTATACCCTCTTTAACTGTTGTTTCCAATCCGCTCTACTCAGCGATGTCTACAAAGTAAACTAATTCATTGAACAGTCAAGCAAAGCTTCAATCTCTCAAAAACCAAGAGTAGAAAAGTTCATTTGCGGACTGTCAAATGTGCTTTCCCATCAGTTTATTTTTCAAGGCAATTGTTCATGTCGGCCAATTGGGAAACCAATAACGGTTTCATAATTGAGTTGCCTTGTATCCTTCAATTCTATGCTTTGAAATGTTGTGGAGCCTTTTAAATGGACGATGTCATACTTCCGTTCTCTCTTAATGGTCTCTATATCCGTCTTCAATGTCGCAAGTGTTTTCCATTCCATCCAAGACTACATGCCTGAACATAGGAGATGAATTTAGGAAAAAAATGTTTCGCTTTTCGCTTTTTTGTTTGTTCATTACGTGGAAATCTGATGATTTTAGTAATACTATTCCTCTTCTTATTGCGTCTTGGGAGGAGAGTCTATTTTTGAAAGCCGTTAAAGTTAGAAATATATAGATCCTGAGATAGAGGATGCCCGACCTTCTTCGGTTGGCGAAGAGGAAATGCAACTGCAAATTGCAATCGCACTATCTAAGGAAGAGCACGAAAAGATTGATGAAATGATGAGAAGCGATGAAGTTCGACTTCAGGTAATAAAAATGATGTTTATTTTTTTTCGTTCTCCGCCTTTTTGTTATCAAGCACTCATCATCTAAGCTATCCCTGTCTCTTACTCTGCTGATAAGTGATGAATGATACCTTCACCACTATAATAAGCTTTTTTTTTTCCTCAAATCTGTGGTTTTTCTATAATGAATGTTAACAAAAGGTACTGAATTACGGTTACGTTAAACTTAACGTACTGTGACGTTCGTCAGTGTTTAAAATAGAAGTCTAGTTCTTTGGACTTTATGGAAATCAACTGTGTTGCCGTTCAGCACTATAGCTTCTCGCCAATTTTCTATTCTTAATTTTTTACTATGTTGGTTGCTTCCACTCCAAAATATCGTTACTAGTTCTTCAGTTCATGGTGAACGTAGGTCGGCGTTGTTAAAACGCTCTTCTTTCTATGCTCCACTTTTTATTCGACTTCGTAGTTAAATGAAGACATATTCTAGCTTGCTCTGGAAGAGTCTCAACGTGAAGCTGAAAGAATGGCTAAAATGGAACAGAAAACTGTCAACAGTGGACAGCTTACACAAAGTGCTCTTGACGATTTGCTTTCTCTTGGAGTTGGAGAGGTGAATCTCCACAGGTTTTCAAGTTCCTTTTTTCAGTTTGCTAGAGATGGTGATATAGTCTCTGGGCTTTACTTTTTAAATCATTGTACTTGATGTTCTCTTCACTATCACTTTGTAACCAAACAAACCATTGCTTGAAGTTCAAATGTGAAACATTTTCAAGTGGGTAGCAGTGTATTATCCATTTCTTATCGCGCTCCGGAACTGTTCGCTAGTCTCTGGTAGCTTGATGGACATAAATACAGTCTCAGTTTTCATATGAAAGTCTTTATTTTTACTGTTCCTGCTTAGACACAGAAAGCCAACTTACATTCTCAGAGCAGTCATGAGACTTTTTTGTTGGAAGTGATTTGGAGTTGTTGCCTCTATGCTTCGAAGAATTGCAAATTATTGAGCGAACCGACACCCACGATACAGTTTGCTTACCCATTCACTAGTGCTTGAATACGACTGTGTATATGAAAAAATAAAAATACAATCCCGAGCCGCAAACAGGGATCCACTGCGTAGCCTTGCGTCCCAGGGCAAGTTCACGATCTTCTAAGAGGGATTTCTGCTATGCAGCTATATTTAATATGTGCTTTTGCAACATTGACTTTTACTTGGTAAATTGAAGTTCAAGTGTTGTAACTGGTTGTTTTATCAGTTCATCTCACAGATGGTGACGAGCGACCAGCCGTCTTCCTCCAGTACGTGGGGGAACACTGGCCTAGTTGATCCATGGGCAGCGCCAACATCTACCGAACAGCAAGCTACTTCGGTAACACTCTATCCTACTGGTAAACTTTCATATACTCAAATTATCCTTGGTTAACTATTTTTCTCAACTTCTTAACCAGTGAATTTCTACGGTTTGCAAATTTCGATAGAAAAGTTAGAAAATGAGCACTGTAATGTAGATAACATGCTTTATTATTCATGTGGCAATAATCAATTTCCTTACGATAAGGACTCGTTTGTATGGAAAGCTACTTAGTATTTCTAAAGGTCGGCTTTTATTTAACCTCAGAATTAGCAATCAGTGTAGGAAATGGTTGACTGTATATTACGTTTCCATAATTTGTATTTGTGAATTAGTTTTCAAGACCGACTTTTTTTAAACCTCGTTAATGATAAATAAGTGGATGTTTCCTTGGTGAGTAGACATAAGTTTATTGTTACAATATTTATTTCGCAGTGGTTAACGTTTCGGAGGGTTTCGCCTTTTTCGAAAGCTGATAAGGGTCACATTGGTGAGCAATTGACTTATTCAAATACTCACGTAACCATGACAAAAAAGAAACTCGGGACTTAAACTTTGATGGCGTTGGAAACACCATTTTATGTCTCCCGTTCATTAAGAGAAACCAGCGCATAGAGATTACATGAAGAAGGAAAATATCTGTATCAGGTCAGAAAATAAACATGGGATATGAAACTGGGTCTCGTTTGATTACAAAGCACTCTTCCTGCTGTTCATCTTTAGGAATTTTGGATTTATCCAAGATTCCACAAGAGTAGTATAACGTAGTCGGCCTTTCATTTTTAGGCGATCATATTTTAGGTCGCAGTTGAGTTCAGTAGGAAAAAATAGAAAAAAAAGTGAAATTGTTAAAGCGCTGAAATGGAATGGAAGTGGAATCTGTACATTTTCTTGCCGAAACGAACAACTTTGGTTGTTCTACCATGATAAGGTTGCTCTTTTCTAAAAGCCACAAATCGTATATTTTTACTTTTTTCTTCAATTTTCATATCTCAACCAGCAAAGCACTTAAATAAGTGAGATGTCGTCTGTCATCAGGTAGAGATAATGATATTAATTCTATTTAAGTTAGCTATGGACACGGTCTCGTTAAAAGTCTTCATAATACCATATAATTCATAATAACTTCATAATACCTTTCAAGATTTCGATTTATGGGAATTTGTCGTATTATTTTGAATTGTTGAATGACTTATCTCGAGAACTACTTGTACGCATAAAGCAACAGAATGACTTTTCGATTATAACACTGTAAAGTCCTTATTCCGTCAACTTGTTAAGTTATTTACTGTCATGACGCCACCTGATTTTGCTTTTTTCGCGGTTGAACAGGGTTTTTTGTGCTGTGGTCACCGGCACTTCCAGGGAGATTTTCTGTAGCCCTGCCTCTTTTCGTTGTGATTTCTGTCCTATTAATGTTTTCTCTCTAGGTTTCGAAGAATTTCCTGCGCTTCTGTTATCCTTTGTATGCTCCGTGTTTTTCTATACACCTTCCTATGTTTTACGTGCATGTACAACTTTTAAGTACGGAGAGAACTCGGTCCTCTGTGCGGTCGTAATGTTAGCATTTAATGAAGTTGTATAAGTTCTGCAGGTAATATTACGATCTTTACCTTGTATTACTGATATCATCTCATCCCAAGTAATACGCGAAAAGTCAACATCGAGACTGAAAACTAGAAACCAACGAATTGCTTATCAAGAATGATTCTGGACACCTGTACACTGCATGCGATGCCAGTTCTTCGAGGCAGAGGCGCTTCTGCTCCTCTTCACTCACCGCACTTTACGCTGCACTGTTCTCAACAGCGACAGTTTCTCACCGCGAAATGAGGAATTAGTGAGGATTTTCTAGGAGGACGCCCTCCAATGAATGATGCACACCATGCCATTCGCGTTGTATCAACTAAGGATTTATTCCAAAAAGTCGAGGAAAAAACTTCTGCACACCCAAATAAACCACCGGAAGGAAAGTGACATCCATAGATGTCTTACCAGCCACTCCCGCAAAAGCATCGTTACACCTATAGGTGTCATTCTTCGCGAATGAGTTAAAAATTAATTACTCTTATCGAAAGCCGACATCGTAGTGAATTTGTTGTGCACACTGGTCATTTTCACTGTTACTGTGAAATCAATGGCTCCGCGGTTAGTGATGGGATAAAAAGAGAAGGTGGTTGAAGGATAAGGATAAGGAATAAAGCTGTCAGCGTTGATAAGTCCCTTAGGAATGCGCCATGCATTAGACTTAATTATGCATCGTTTGGAGGTGATTGAATGCATATTTGGCCTTTACGATGACTAGCAGTAGCCTACAGATGTATCGAGTCAGTGCTGCTATCCACCCAGACAAGTCTGGTACTAATTTGCCAACTCCGGAAGGATGGAAGGACTGATAGACCAGGAGCGCGAGAATCGATCCCATGTGTATTGCAGAGCGCGTCCTACGAGTGTGCCACATGCGCTCTCATGGAAGGTAATTAATAATTAAAATTGGGATGAACATCATTCATTTAGTAGTAAAATAAAGAGGTGACAAAATGGCAACAACCAGCACAGTAACTGTCTTCTTGTGTACTCGGGTGCCCTGTCCTCACTGCTTGTGCGAACCCAGCATAATCTTCACTTTTTGGAGTTTTGCTAGTTTTGTTATGGTGTTTCTCTGGACTGCCGAGCTCAACCAGGCCAAAGTCTGCTCCAGTCCGTCACTACGACAGGTAGTCGCCGACCTTATAAATCGGACGGAGATTTGCCACCATGCGACTAGTTTGATACCAGGACTGTGGTGGATCCTGGTATTGGTTTGCCCTTAGCTGGGCTTCCTGAGGGAAACACCTGACTCCTCAGCTTTTGACGCTCTGCTGGATGGATGAATCTCTCCGCTGTAGATCGCAGGCTGACACCCAGAAACACCTGCGAAGAATGCGACGCAAAAACACGTTCTATGTTCCGAACAATGCGGTCGTGATCGAAGAATATTTTAGCTTGCAAACATGCATTCTCGCGGTGTCAGTCCCATTTCTTGCTATACTCTCAACTGTATTTTACGACGACGATCAATCTTGTTTTTTCTAGAAGACAATTAGAATTTCGACACTGCATGTCGAAATGGGGTGAATTCTCCTGCGTCTTGTTCACTGCTATTGAAAGAATCCCTATGCTTTTTGCTTGGATTTTTGGATGGCCTGTCTTCACCACTGGTCTTGCGAGAATCAGTATATTCTCCACTTTTCGGAGTTTTGCTGATTTAGTCATTGTGTTTCCCTGGATTCCCTTTGGTCAGACTGGCCAAAATCTGTCCCAGGTGGTCACCGGCACAGATAGTCGCCGCGCTTATGGATCGGAGGGAGATTTTCCACCATGGAACTAGCTTGATACCAGGACGGTGATGGATCCTGGTATTGGTTTACTCTTAGCTAGACTTCATGACGGAAAACGCCGGACTCCTTAGCATGGAAGACCCTGCCAGGGGGATAAACAACCCCTCTGTACATCGCAGCGCGACATCCAGGAACACCTCCCATTTACGATGAGGCTGCAAACCATTAGGAGGAAGTCACCGTTCACTTGTTTTTAATTAACAGATTTTATCAGGTTCTAGTAAAGGTCGTATCCATGTTTGTTTTGTCTAACCTATGCTTTTTGATTATCGGCATAGGTTCGGACTCCAGATTCTCCTTTTTTTCTCACTAGAGTTAATCGAGGTACTCCAATTGTCACTCTCCATGGTGCAGCAGTAATTGTGACTGCACTTCCACCGTTTGTTTACACCCACAGGGACAAGCGTTCTTTGTCTTCTTGCTTCCTTAATGCTGTACACTTTCTATGTCGCTTGCTTCGTTTTTTTTAGCTTTAATAAGACATGGAGGACAAATCCGTTCTTCGTGCAAAGTTTCTTCAAGTTCTTTGGCAGATGGGTATTGGATTTCAATTTGCCGTTGAAATCGGCTAGCATTCGTTGCGAGCGCTGAGAAAACGATGTTCACAGGAAGCGGTTTCATTTCTGAAACGTAATTCGTGGTAAACTTACGGATTAATGGCTTTCCCTCCAGTGTTATCCGATTACAGTTTCCAATTAATTACCATGAGAGTGGCGTTTAATTGCTTTACCAAGGTGATATTATCTTGGCTTTCATTCTAAGCTTCTAAGGTTTATATGGTTGGTACAATGTTACGTCATTCTTACTAAGAGCAGCTGGACCAAAGAATTTATAGACGGCAGACTGTAGGCAGGTTACGCGATAGCTAACTCGTTCTGTTCTGTTTCCCAGACACTCTTTTGCTGGCTTCTTATCGTTTTGGTCCCATTTACTTCATGAAGTACCAGGTGAAAATGCAGACCTATCAATTAATGATAAATGGCGGTTACTGTACTTGTTCTTCATGGACGAGAAGTTATGGCAGTGTCTGCTGACTTTCATATTTTTGGTTTTTAAGGCATGCTTGTGACAGCAGCGGAAGACACCGTTTTTGAAAACACGGATAGAAGCACACATGATAACATCCTCACGCACATATAGATTGTGGTGGCTTATACGGTGATAGAAGTGTAGGCGGAGCAGTTAGTTATTAGTTCGATTGACTGCTTGCCTTGTGTGGCTATGCCACGTTTTTCGAGTGATGTCACAGAACACGGTTTCAAGCTTATGTTATAACCGTTTATGTAAAATAACTGCAGTACAATATTAGCGGTGTAACGATACACAAAAGGGTTAAGGAAACAAGCGTCAGTAGCCAGAAGGAGACTGTAAGCGCCCTGCTAGAGAGAACTACTAGGGAGCTGCGGAGAGGATTGTGGAAAGAACTAAACTGAGAGCTGACGGAGCAGCTTAAATTCGTCCTAAAATATGCGGAGTTTGGCCAGGTAGTTGAAAATACAGTATGCGGAGATAGGTTGAAGCGATAGTTTGAGGAGATGTTTTAAGCAACGGGGTGTAGAACTTCTTTCTAGGCAGTCTCATCTGAAGCGGCTAATTCAAGAGACAGTACCGGTAGCTGCGAAACGTCTTCATCAGAAAAAAAACTGGCATGTGGGAAGCTCTAAAAAAGTTTTTGCAGAGAATTTTGCCGTTTGGAAATAACCAAGCAGTGCGAGTCAAATACATGTTCGATGAGGATTAGTCGGTAGAGAAATAATGTAGAGATGGAGAATATTCAATATTATCGAGAATGTTCTCTATAGGTGTGATTATGTCTATGAACACACTTAAAGCGTATGTCATTTAGGAGACATTAAACCTCTTGAAGCTACACACGTTTCGTATCAAACAGTTAGGTGTGTTTGGTCCTGTTTTAACCTCTTCACGACCCTGTGTCATTGATGCGCGACAAGCTCATCAAACGGCGTGTCATATACGGTCCGACGCTTACAGCAATGTGCATAGTGAAATCAATGCGCATGGTCGTGAAAGGGTTCTATGCACCATCTGAACAGGTATCCATAGTGTCACGTTACTAGAGGGTTCGGAAACTTCAGAATTTCATGAAATTTTTACTTACCAATACTTTCGCATATCCAGTAGGTGTGCATCAACAATGCTTGTTTTCATTACCGATGAAGTAGTTATGAAATATAGGAAAAAGCTGAGAAATCTGTAAGTTGATGAGGTCACTACACCATAGAGTGCGCATCTCAACCTTTAGCATTGTTTTAAGGATTGCAGAACCGAAAGTTAGCCACATCTATAACACGATTCTACTTATTGACTTGGTTTAGGTTTTGTGAAACTCGTCTATTTTCCAGGGCAATTGATGAAGAACGACCCTTGGGTTCCATCTACTGGGACAGCAGTGGTGACTGCAAGTGCCAATGTAGCTGTATCACAAGCCATTCCTGCGGATCCATTTTCTGCATGGGAACAGCAACTGGAACAGACTAATAATTCAGATGTGATCACTTTTATTTATAATGTGGTGACTTTTTTTTTAAAATCAGCAATACTCGCTCCCATTAGCGATAAAATAGTCATTAGCCAGACGTGTTTTCCTTTTTACGTTCTTTTTAAATTACTTCTTTGTAGGTTGCTTCTTCTTCCACTCCTGTCAGTTCGTCCACGACAACGGCTGCTCGAAAAACGCCGGAAAACTTCTTAGGAGAAAATAGTAATCTTGTCAATTTGGACAATCTTCTTGGTGTATCTTCCACAGCGAATTCGAATTGTGAGTATCATTGTTTCGTTATTTTTTTAAATGACTTTTTAAAGATAACGCGTTGCAGTTTTTCGTCGTTTTATCTTTAAAGTTCATGTACTTAGAGGTTTTATAATTAATCGATCACACTTTTTGTCATACACTAAATCCCTATGTCTAGGTGTAAATCCTTTCCTTCTTGGCTCATCTTCTATGGCTAATCCATTTGCTTCCCAACAGCGAAAATCGCCGACTTTGAACGAGATGCGAGCGGCTCAAGCTTCTGTAGTTCCACCAGTTCCTCAAATTGGTCCCAGAGTTGGTACACTCCCAGCTCCAGTTCACACAACAAATGGTCCCAACCCATTTGTTAGTCAGTTTTAAGTAGAATTACCACAGTTTTAATATTTTATCTGTCTGCTTGCTACTGATCTTTTTTGGGCCATCTCTGTTACATATGTATATATATATATGCATATATATATATAGATATGTATATTTGTATTTCACATAGTCTAATTATGTTCACAATTCAGCACTTTTTCTCACGTTTCATTGTGATATCCAGTTTTCTCTTTTTTATTTTGACAGCGTAAAATTTCCTTTGTTGAGTTCCTGGGGATGTTTTTGAAAGCTTCGAAATTTCTGGAATGTCTCATTTTTATTTCATAATCATTCATTCAATATTTCCACCTTCTGGTTTTACGAAGCGCTAGAGATTTGGTATTATTGCTATGCATCTTTTTTTTCTAATGTGTGCCACTTATTCTAAATCGGGAGGAAGTCATTGCAATGCCTCATGTTGAAATCTCTTCGTAGAATCAGAATGAGAATGTGTCAGATCGTAAATGCGTCTCCCAGTGTTCTACCGCCAGGTTTCATCCAATTGTATGTGTTCGAAGTATTTATAGGGCAAAAGTGTAAAAAGGTGAATATCTGTTTTTTTCCTTCTCCATTGTTGTCATCATGGAGTAGTAGCAGATACAACTTAATAGCACCTGTAGGAATACGCACATGATTCATTGTAATAACAAGAGCAAGAATGTGTTAGTGGTAAGCGCTGGCTGCTGAACGACGTAACTTTAAATGCTGTCTAAGTGTCCTTTATCCTTTTGTGGGCACCATTATACATATGAACTTGTGTCTGCTGTCATTTTTATATAGAACAAGTAAAGGATTGATGATCGTAAACTGCAGGATGCGAATAGAAGATAACGGTGTCGTTCTATTAGTATGAACGCGTATTAGTTCTTCGACGTGGAATAGTTTATGAAAAAGTCGCATATGACGCATGTACCTGACTTCCTTAACTTATATGGTGCTAATGTTTTTGACCGTGCATTCTACGTACTGAATATCCGTCTGCATATCTTTCTGCTTTTTTATGCATCTCTATTTGAGTCCAACGGAGTTAAAAGCCTGTGGTATTTCCAGTGACACTGTATTGATTCAAATCATTAAGCTCGTACCATATCTCCTTCCTCTAAGTATTTTAATAAACGCTTCACCAGTAACAGTCTCTAAACAAGTAACGCATGAGATGCACTGATTTCAAAACGTGCATGGATGGCGCATAGAGTGGGTGGATTTTAATTCACCTCGTCTTGAGTGTTTTATTTTGTTGCGTTCTTTTTTATCGTGCTTTTCCTATCCAGTCGGTAGCTTACTGTATCAGACGTGATCCTTGAAAGTCTGCTCTCTTCAAGTAATATTTTATAAAAAATTCCTTTCCTGCGTGGGTTCATTCACAGTGAGAGACAATTTCTGTTTCAGAAAAATGCACAACGGTTGTCGACGAAGAGAATGCATAAATGCATCCTCTGCTGTACTTGAACACTTCAATTCGACACGTTGAGAAATCTTTTTGCGATGATGAGATGGTGAATTATTGTGGAGACTTTGAAATTGTTCGATGTTCAAAGTGTATGCGTTAATCAAATGCTTCAACACAGTTTTTTAAGAACTGTAGTCGAAGTTTGTGTTGGAAAACGTTTAGATTAAAATGTACAGATGGAGGTTTATGTATTGCTGCAATTTAGACATTCTAGATAGAATTAATACTTGTTACATACAAGTTGCAATTCTTGCCTACAATGGAACTCCCAATTGTTGACCTACAGCTTGCTAGCCTTCCCCAATGAGGAAAAGTTTTTACGAGCAGTATTTAAATAGCGCAAAACAGTGTCGTTTCTTCAACAGCTATACATCATTTCCTACAACAGCTATATCCAGTGCTCTCTTTCGCACATGTTTTTCAGCGTATTTGCAACCATATCATCTGTATCACGTGCCATCCTGTTGGTCGTGGTGCGATTCGAGCTGCAGCCAGTAGTCCTTCCATTTCTCCCTTTCGAGTTATAGAGCCAAGTGGATTCCGCTTGGTCTAGGGACTCGTCGACCATCATATCTTTTTTTTTAGGGTTTTAGTGAAGATCTCTGACCATCAGGCCGATGACCTTCCTGATGTGCCTTTGACATAACGGGGCATTCACTCGCTAATGGCTCTTTTCCTTAGGTTGTCATTCAAGCAAATTTCGTGTTTGGCTCACGGGATTTGACATGTAGGACATCTTTAGTTTTTGATCGTTGACATAGGTCGGAGCTTCGGATCTCCTTCACCATTTGCGTTATAAGGGATACTCCTGGCATCGTCCTTTCGACTGCGCATTCTATATTTCTAAGTGATTCCCATCCTGCTTACATAGCTACCAGGTTTCCAGCACATGCGTTAAGGCAGGGGGAATCGTGGAGTCGAAAAGGTGGGCATGGGGCCGAGTGTTCTTTGCTCTCTTCATTACATCCTCGATGCTCCTGAACAATCTCAAGCTGCTCGCATCCTCCTGCTACGCAGAATTCGCTCCGTTGAGCGTGCGTGGGGCATGCGAAACGAATCCGTTCTTCATGAACTTCTTTTTTTGCGAGTTTGGTTGAAAGGTGATATTTCTTCAAACAAATTTTGTGACTTAGGATTTCAGTTCTCAAAACGGCGATTTCGACAAATTAACTTCTACGAGTTCATACTCAGAAGTACGCAACGCAGACGGTTTGAAGCATTCATGAGATATGGAACCAAGTAATTGTTAACAAGCGCACAGTGCAACATTCGTTTGAAAAATTTCATCGTAACTAATTCGGTCTTGAAGATTGAGGACGTCATGGACGTCATCCTGCTACTCATAAATATTGTCAGCGCTTTTTCTGCGCAACTAGAACGATTAGTTTATCGATGGTAGTGTGATGGGCGACGAGAACTGGATCTTCTATGATAACCGGCAACGATCGGCTTAGTTACTGGATCGCGATGAAGCTCCGCAGCATTCTCAGAGACGAATTGGCACTAATGGAGAGTTACACTGACCGTTTGGTAGTTTGCTGTTGGTTTAATCTTTCACAGCTTGTTAAATTCCGCAGAAATACGACAGCGAAATATGTCCGACAAGTTGAAGAAATGCGCCAGAGAAACGTCTGTGGTCGGTTTTGGTCAACGGAAGGGAACTAATCATTCTCCACGATAACGCAAGGCCACATCGCGGCAAAGGTTGTGCGAGACAGGTACAAAACTCGGCCTCATCCACCATGGTTACTACACCTCTCTCCTACCGCCGAACACTTTTTCAAGCATTTCGAGAACTTCCTTTATCAGAAATGTTTCAGGAATCAAGCCGGGGCCTAAACTGCCCTCAACGACTTCATTGCCTTCTGGGATCCTAAACTGGAGTGAACTAATAGGAATAAAGTCGTTTTTCGTTGGAAATAATGCTTTTATCCCAATGGTTTTTATTTCCATTAATGGAGTTTGTTTTGTGCTAAGATATCGTGCTTTGAAAGTACAGGTTGAAACCTGCCATTAATTTCAGAACAATTTCGCGACGAAGCTCATAGTTAGATAACTGGCTAAAGTTTCTCGATCACTAGACTATTTCTGGAGTGCAGAGCTGTTTAGTTTATAGAAGAGACTTTGTCCTATCATATTAGTCGCTTGTGTAATTTTTACACAGTCTCGTTTCGAACATGTGTAGAATCAAATCCTTAAAAAATTGATAAAGAAAGCTAAGTTTTTAACATCTCCAACAAAGGAATGGGAATTGCAAACATAAACGATGCATTGTGTAACACAGGTCTGTTATAGTATACCAAATCTCCTCGTTCATTTGCTATTTCGAAACGCGGTCCTTGCAGTGAAATGAAAGAAATGTTTGTCGGGAGTTTCACAGAATCAGCATTTCATTACAGTAACACCGCAATGAACACTTTTCTAATAGACAACGGATTGCAGATTCCTTTGCCTTTGTTGCAATGAGTGGAATTCACTATGAGCTGGGATATGTTGATTCAAATCTGAAACGGGATTATTTTCGTATCTCATGTTTCTTGAGGCGCGTGTGGCGCAATAGTTGGAGGCGCCACGGTGGCACACACGTGGAATCGGTTCTCGCGCCCATGGCTCACCAAGCCTTCCATCCCTCCATGGTCGGCAAATTGCTACCAGACTTGTCTGAGAGGATAGCAGCACTGGCTCTATAATATGCATTCAGTCACCTCCAAACGACACGTAATGAAGTCGAATGCATGGCGCATACCTCAGGGATTGACCAATGTCGGGAGCTTTAGAGCTTTAGCTTTGTGATTCTTGTAGAGGCTGTGCCTTCACGTAAGGGTTAAAGCTGAACTCGGCAACGTCTGACTCATATTATAACTCATGTGTTCCTGAACATGCAAACTACGAAGCAGTACTAAGTATGTTTTCTTATGGTCTAATCAATCTCAGAATCAAAGGACTGCACTTTAACTCTTTTATTTACTGCCTTTTTCTTCTTAGTGGCAGGGTATGTTGTGAAATATAACTCGTATGAAGTGCTGAGATATTTGCAAAACTCCGGACCACATGCAGGTGTATGCAGTGAGGAACGAACACGCGCTGTTGTCCTTACCGGGGAGCAGCGCACTTCACCACTACACCATC